TTGCTTAGTGACTCCTTCATTTTTTATTCTCTCGCTGTCTAGCTACATAAAAATTGAGTTACGTCTGAGTGTCAGATTTGAGTGAGAACATCATCAAACAGATTTCTTGCTACTGAATTGAAAACAAAAACATTTGCATTGTATGGTGTAAGGTAATTATCTTAGTATTACACACGTGCACTTTCATGAGCATGTTTACTAAATGTTGAAAGCCCTTCATATGCTACTTGCAGGTCCACAGTTCATGACATACAACCCTTGCAAAACAAATTTCTAGCTTTCTGTCAAGGTCTGGAAGTTTCTAGAAATTTCTAGAATGTGACAGCTTTATTCCAGAATCAAATTCCAGCTTTTTTCCAGAATTTTTTTTTCTAGTTTTTGCAAGTTTTGGATTCTGTCAAAATCTGGAAATAGCTGGAATTTGACACATCTACCAGTTGTTGCAAGATTTTGACAGTTTTTTCCAGGGTTGATTTCTTGCAGGAAACTGGAATAAACCAGGAACAGTTTACAGCTTATTGAGATTTAACAAAAATGAAAGAAATTCCCAGTATATTCCAGTTTTTGTCAGTGTGAATTTAACTCTTTTCAGATAACAACTGAAAGAAATGAGTTAACTTGTCAGCTTGCTATGTATTTAAGAAGTTTTTATTACAAATAAGAAAACTTACAATTTATATGTGACTGTATGATTACAACTAATGACCAATTACTTCATTGTTAAACAAAGCATTTGATTATCTTTTCTGGTTCTTTTTTGGAGTTATTTATAGTGGTGTACACTGATTATTGAGTGTATAAATATCTTACATGTTATTAACAGTTAAAATATTATTGATGACATACTTTGTTAAAAAAACCCAAGCAATTTCATCGGCAATGGCCACAAAAATTTGGAGCCCTAGCCACACATATGTGGTTTGGGTTGCCAGAAAGATAAAGAATTTTCTCAAGGATACAGTCCACTCCAACAACAGTGTAACTCTCATCTTCACCGGCAATCCTGAGTAGATGCTTTGGCTTATCATTCACAAAGAAAGGGTTCTCAAAATCTAAAACAATACGTTTAACTACAGCAAACACAGTTTTTAAGTTTCTTTCAAACAAAAAGTATTCAACAAAGGCCATGTAGTTTCCTCCATTTTGCTCTATAAGGACTGCAAAACCACAATGTTTTTTCATTCTTTCATAGATCCGTGAATAAATGACATGCCCATTCACAATCACACGCTTAGCTTTTAGAAAAACTGGTCTATCAGTGTAATTTGAATCAAGTTGTAAGGATGCCTGTTCATAGATCTCATTGTTTACTGTCCATTTTGTAAGGGCTCCAGCAACCTGACAGTTTGCTGCACTCTTCACATTCCGTAGGCTTCTCTCACCAGAAAGCATTTCCTCCACAAAAAATTGCATGTTCTTCTCAGAAATTAAATGACATTTGGTTCGAAGGGAATTTTGAGCATACAGCATCCAAATAAGTTGGCGACACTGATTTCCTGTCCCATGAACACTCTCTAGTAGGGCTCCATTTAAATCTTCAAAAGGAAAACACGACCATGCCCAAAGTGGTCCCCATGCTTGTACATAAGTCACTAAATGGGCTCCAACATTATGCACATTTAGACTGCAGTTGCTATCACCATAAAGAACTTGGTGATTCTTGTAAAATTTCAATAAGATATCTCTAGCCAAAGCTAGTAAATCTGGTGTTATATTGTCTCCAAGTAATATGTAAATGCCTTCTACTAGGCAAGCAAAATGTTCTAAGTACTTTTGAGGTAAAATGTCAATGAGGCAAGGGACAGAATAATAAAGCAGCCATGCTTGTAGTTCAGATGCCTTGAAATAAGCACGGCTTGTTTCTAGTTGCCTTGGAAGTCTTTGTATAAAATCAGGTGGTCTCATCTCTCTCAGTCTTTTATCAATAGCTTTTGTTTTGTGTCCAATGAACCAAGGTTTCTTGTGTTTTGTTGAAGACAACCAGAGATTAAGGAGTTGCTTTGTTACACCGAGTAACACGCCGTGCATATAGTCTGGAACAATTCCAAGTACCAAGTCAAACCAGGGAAGCTTTGCTAATGGTGTTACATCATGGAAACCTTTTACTCTATGACCACATTCCACGGCAGACAGGGCATTCTCTACTACACTTTCACTTGTTCTCAGTGGAGCAGGTGGATCTTTGAATGGATAGCTACGTACATAGCCTTTTCCTTACTTAGTGACAAAACCCTCTTCTTCACATGTAAGGCAACCATTGACACCATTATGGTGACTCATGTACATAAGATATGCCTTACCCTGTAAGTCAGTAGTACCCAGTGAAAGCATAAGTTTTGGATGGCATTTGTTTGTAATAGTAAAACCTTCATACTTAAGTCGGATAACGTCATCAGTGAATATTTCAAAAAAGGTGGAAAACCTTGGTTTTCCTTTCCCTTGCCATAATCCCCAAAGTATCATGTTCTTCTTTGCAAATCGTTCCTCTGGGGGAAGTTCATTTATGGCAAGAAAAACAGGCCAAATATTCACCTTTGAGGATTTGTATAAAGGTATGCCATCTGTATTAAAAAGTAAAGTTAAATTGTCTTCTTTGGTGAGAAATCCTCCACTTTCCTTGTACCTCTTGTATACTGTTCCATCGACAATGTCCCTAATACTTGAAGAATAGTTTGGTGTGTTTTTGTATTGCTGAATTTTTGCCCAAATGCCAGTGCATTCCAAAAGTTTGCTCAACTGCTGTTCAACTGAAATAGTCACAAAATATAAGTTTCTCTGCTTTTTAACCTGGTTATGTGAATTTCCACGATAACGCAATCCTGTACATTGGTTTCCATCACTATCTATTGTACTACACTGATAAATAGTCTCATCCTTTGGAAAAATTGAGAAGCACTTTCCACAGCAATCATAAAGATTAACAATGCAATCTCCTAGTGTTTCTTTTATGTCACTTAATGTCAGAGATTGCAGGATGTTATCTTCTGGGGCAATAAGCTTAAGGAGATCCAAAAGATCAACAGAAGCAGAGCCACTCAATTTATATTTAGCAATGTACGATAAAATGATTAGGCTCAGTCTTTCCTTTTCAGTAATTGCAGGGATGTTGGAGGCACCTGAGACCACCTTTGATTTGTCCTGTTCTTCTGCATCTGATTCATCACTGGACATTGGCAGATCTGTTTCAGATGAACTGTAATCAGTGTCACTACTCATTGAACAGTCTGAGTCTGATGTGTTTGACTCATCAATAAAACTAATAATATTTGAGTCAGAATCTGGGTGCTCAGAGTCTGAACAATAATTAGTAATGTTATTGACATTGTTCTTACTGTAGAAACATGTGCCTTGTCTTGAAGTTTCAATGTCCTCATGAGTGTCAGTAGTTAAAAAGATTTGCAATTCTTCTTCTGAGCTTGATTGAGATACATATAAGCTTGTAGCAGAGCTCGCCCCTTGAGGTACTGGTGATTCATCCAAAATAGATGAGCAATGTTCAAAGTCAATTTCTAAACCTTCCTCAAAAGAAACAGAGGGAGAGCTTTGTTCTGGGACAAAACAGCCATTTGCAGAACGTTTTCTTCTCCACAATGTTGTTCAAGAATTACCAGTAAGGGTCTGTTTCTGTTCTGGATCTAGAAAGTTTGTTTTACCATGAGTTCTAATTAAATGTGAGATCACTCGCTGCTTTGAAGAGAGAAAATTTCCACACAAACTGCACTTCCATTTAGGCAGGCCGTCAGGCGATGTAACACATGTGAAGTCTGGGTGACTGGCATGAGCAGAGTTCATATGCACATCGAGATTTCTTTTAGACACGAGTGACTTTCCACAAATGTCACACAACCATGATTCTTCGTCTCCGCTAGCCCCTCCTCGCAATCGCAGCACTGACAAGCCAACTGAAGGAATAAATTCAGTTGTTCGGTGTTCTTTACACGTTGTATTGAAGTCCTCTCCATCGCCATCACTACTGCAAGGCTTTTCCTCGATAGTAAGCTTACTATGATCAAGTATCAAAGCTTGAGTGGCGATTGTTTCGACCAAAACATTGTCACGAAAGCTCAGAGTCGTTAATGCAGTTTTAAATGCGGCCAAGTGTTGAATTACCCTGATATCCTTCAANGAATTATGATTTCTGGAATAAAGCTGGCATTTCCACCCTAATTAGCATGTTTCATTAACATTCTAGATTTTTCTAGAATTTTCCAGAAAAGAAAACTGGTAAATTCTAGAAATTTCTAGAAATTATTTCTGTAATATTCCTAGAAAAATTCTAGAAATTCCTAGAATATTCCAGATTTGTTTTACAAGGGAATGTCCATCAACTGTTACACTTGAGAGACTGTGTTGAAGATCTTGGGCCTCTTTGGAGTCATTCTTGTTTTTTCTTTGAAGACCTTAATGGAGATTTCCGTGATTTATTTCATGGTACACAGAATATTGATGGGCAGGTACATGTAATTATTATAATTGCTTGCATCTGTGTGGATATGAATGAGAAATTTTGAGGTAAATCAAGTATACTTTTTAACTGGAATGTTTTGTTTTATTTCAGATTTTACATGGTGTTTCTGTTATACAAAAGTTGCCAGAGCTGGCTTCAGATATCTCCAATCTCGAGGCTCAAAACCTGTATTCTCAACTCACCCAAAAAAGTCACTACAAAAGGTGAGTTGCTGAACCTGTGTGATTAATACTTTTTGCTACAGTTAATACAATCATTACACAAGAGAGTTACAAGAGAAATATCTTTTTGATTTTCCCTTTTTTTTTGAAAAGGAAATGTCTAGTATATAGATTGTTCTCAGTAAACCCATTGATCCCTATAAATGTTAGCTACAAGCTTACAAGAGTGTTAGTAAATATCTGTGCATGATGTAAGGTTGTGGTATCCATCCAAACCCTTTTTCACACTTTCTTATCATTAATTTGATGTTCCAGGTCCAAAACTGAGGAGATTGAATCAGGGATCTTTGTGATTGGGGCACTGGAAAAAGTTTCCATCAATTCAGAGATCCTTTCTCAAGCAGAATGGCAGGCACTAAGAAGAGAACTGACAAGTTGGCGAAAGATGTGGTCTTTTAAGCGATGCCAAATCAATGGAACAGTGTATCACAGTGAGCGTTACAAACGAGTAACAGCACGAAATAATTTTACAGTTAGCTTCGCTGGGAAGAAGCAGTCAGAATATGGCTTTGTCCTTAATTATGTGAAGGTTCAAGAGAAGTGCCACCAAGCATCTTGTATGAATGCAAACTGTAACTGCCAGTTAGAATGTAACTACTTTGCTCTACTTAGAATTCTGGATAAGCATCAAAACCAACTACCAAGTCTAAAAGGAACAGTTGTGGTTGGTCATATCTTAAGGGTCGAAGGGACAACAAAGATTGTTACTGTTCCTCTGAGGTGTATTGAGCAAAAGTGTATGATGGTGTCAACTTCAAATGGAATTTTTGTTTGTCATTTGGCAAACAGAATAGAACGAGACTGATTGTTACACGATAATATTAACTCTGAAACTTGTGAGTTACAGTACAGTTTAGAAATCTTATAACAAGGAAACTTTGAATACAAACTGCAGCAAAGTTATGACTGGTGCCAAAACAAAACAACTGTCTCTTGCATTTTTTTTGTAGAAAACATGCACCATGTTTCTATCAAGTTTTAGTATAAATCTGCTAGCATTCTATCACGGATGGCGCTCTCTAATTGGCTATACACTACTCACTATCTATTCTGTTGTAGATAAAGAGTAGCGCAGCAGTGTGGGGTTGTTAACAAACTGGCAGCTGCTTCTGTGCATTTTCAAAGTGTCCATGAAGAGGATTTAGATAAAGTTTTGAACGACTAGTAGATTTATACAATAAGATAAATAATTCGCTCTTGATTTCTATGCGTGGTAGTTGACTTGGGCTGCACCCTCGTCAACTATCATGCAATAGAAATCTCAAGCTCATAGCCCAATTGTTTAATAGAAATACAAGTGGAAGTTTGGGTCCAGAATGAGAAATGCTTTGGGAGCGAGTGTTTCCACAGCTTTTTCAAGTTCTCTCAAACTTTCAGGAGTGTTTCTATAACTCAATAGAAACACGGAGAACAGGTTTTCTATTTCTTTTAGAAAAATACCATGAAGGAAAAAGAAAAACAACTTGTTTACTTTGATCATAAAAATGTAAATTCTCTTTGCTTGCACCATCGTCATGTCAAAAGCTTGTGCTAGGTCTGTGTTTTGATGAAGTTATAGAAACACAGTTTTAAACATATCAGCATATTTTTTGGGGGGCGTGCTATTTTCTAATTGAACAATGATACGTTGCAACTGAATTTTGATTATCAATAAATAAAATAGGAATAAAATATCATAGTTTTCAAGTTTATATAGTTTCACTTGGCATGCACGTTACAAAGTATAACATTGTGGGCTGTTTGGGATAAAACAGGATTAAAATAGACTATTTTATACATATTTTGCAATTTGGAGTAGAATCTCCCTCAAAAAAACAGGAATAAAACAGTCTATTTTAAGCCTATTTTAAGCCTATTTTACATCATTGAAGGTTTTCATCAATAAAATAGGATTGTAATAGCCTATTTTATGTATATTTTTCAAAGGAACTGCCAATAACCTTTCCTTTCTGCAGAAAAATATAAATAAAATAGTCTATTTTATCACTGTTTTATACAGCAATACTGATATCAGAATGTAAAATTGGATTAAAATAGTCTGTTTTACAGACTATTTTTCAGTTTGGTATGAGAAAATAGAGATAAAATATACCACCTTGTTAAAAATAGGTTTAAAATAAAGTAAAACACAAATAAAATAGATGCTCCATTTTCTCTATCTGGTCAAATAGGAATAAAATATAGATCAGTGGGAAAAAAATAGGGGAAAAATAGATGTAATAGCATTAAAATAGTGATAAAATATGGATAAAATAGGATTGTTTTTGTAAGGGTACACCGTTAAGGCAAGATCATGTTTCGGACAGATTCTCTAGTTTAGCACTATGTGCTAAAGACAATATTGAAATCAAAGAATATGAATATTTTTAAGCCATTATTGCAATTAAGAGCAAATGTGTCCAAAAATCAAACATTTTCAAAATATCGCAGCAACAGCCAAAAACTAAATTCTGCTCACATTCTCAGGTTTGGTAGGCCTTAGTGTGAAACAAATCACAGCATGCTTCGTTTGGCTGAATATCGATTTATTTACGAGAAAATC